TCGCCAACGTGGTGGTGGGGCTTTCCGATTACCCGGATCAAGGCGCCCTTTCTGCCTCGGGAGCAGCCCCCTGTGCGGCGGCGTCCCAGCCCGGAGCGAGTCTGCCAACGCCAGCCTGGGCGCTGCAGCTGCTGCTCCTGGGTCTGTTATGATGGTGGTGGCGGCGGCGGCGGCGGCGGCGGCTCCTGCTGCCTCTTCCGAGCGCATCCGGATTCCAGGCGAAGCGTCGCGAATGCGATCGCCGCGCAACTTTCACCAAGTGACCACCGCTGAGGCTGTGGCGAGGCGGCGCCTGGTGTGCCGAGGCTGCAGGGGAGAAAGTAAGTGAAGAAATGAAGAAGGTTGGTCGAGCAACAGCCAACCAGTTAGCCAACCAACCGCCTCCCCCCACCCCCCCTGCCACACACACACACACACACACCCCTCTTCCACCTCCGCTACCTTTTGGGTAGCGAGAAAAAGCCTGGGGTTCAGCTGCGCGCAAGTTAAACGCTCAGACCTGACTGTCCCGGAGAACGCCTGAGCAGGTGCAAATACGGGTTTTTTTTCCTTATATATAATTTTTTAAAAAACGTCCTTAAGAGACCTGATCTTTTTGGGTCTGAAATCCAAAACTACACGAAATTGCAGAATCAATTCCGCCGCACGCCTTATCTATATTTCTGACGGTTCCACAGGTTTGTGCCTAGATTTGACAGATCTAAAAGGCGAATCATCAACGTACAGTATTAGATTGCGGGGTCCCAGTTGGTGTTGTTTACGTCTGATCACAAACACAGGAGATACTGATCTCCTATGTCAGTTTAAGATTAGAGTCGATGTCAATACAAATCCTAAATTAGCGACCTCGCTGAACGCTCCTCGTCTTGTTCGACTTTCGAAGCCAACCTGAATTCGTCCTGACCCTTTCGTGGACCACCAGAAGAACTGAGTGTGTATGCGATTTTGGAATGATTGTTGGACAGGCTCTGAGTGCATTGTTGTTGTTAAGTCATGTCCGACTCTTTGTGACCCCATGGACCAGAACACGCCAGGCCTTCCTGTCTTCCACTGCCTCCCGGAGTTGTGTCAAATTCATGTTGGTTGCTTCAATGACACTGTCCAACCATCTCATCCTCGGTCGTCCCCTTCTCCTCTTGCCTTCATACTTTCCCAGCATCAAGGTCTTTTCCAGGGAGTCTTCTCTTCTCATGAGATGGCCAAAGTACTGGAGCCTCAGCTTCAGGATCTGTCCTTCCAGTGAGCACTCAGGGTTGATTTCCTTCAGAATGGATAGGTTTGATCTCCTTGCAGTCCAGGGGACTCTCAAGAGCCTCCTCCAGCACCACAATTCAAAGGCATCCATTCTTCAGTGGTCAGCTGTCTTTATGGTCCAGCTCTCACTTCCATACATCGCTACTGGAAAAACCATAGCTTTGAAAATGTGGACCTTTTTTCAGTGCATAGGTCACAGGATTTTGGCACTGCGTAGCCCCATCCCAGGTCATAGTCATTTGCATATTCCCCTAATTGTGGGGTTCTTTTTTCCCCCAGTAGTGATGGAGAAATACACAGATAATATCACAGACGTGGGGTAGTGTTGATATTTGTATAGTTAGAAGGGAAACTACTGCATTCTTTGTGCCATTCCTTACTAAAAGCTTTTAACAAATTTTCTTTCAAAGTAACGTGTGGTGGGAAGATGATGCTATTGCAGATCTTCCTCCCTCCCAGTGTTATTATGATCAGTACTTACTATTATTCCAGGAATCTCCAGAAAGGGCTAGGAAAGAATGTTGTCTGAAACCCTGGAGAGATTATGCTGGTCACCATTGGCCATACTGGGCAAGCTGGACTAGTAGAAGGTGATTTAAAACATATCCATCCCAAAATATGCCGTGGCCTAAAAACAGCAGGATCCTTTCCCATTCCCTGTACAAAAACGGACTCAATGTTTGTTCAGTATTGGAAACAGGCCTGCATTCTCTCGTCACATCTGAAGGCAGCAGGTGTGGGCAAAGTTGCATAACATATAGCACTCTCTTCTAATGCCTTCCTGTCATCCCCCGGCACTTATTATCGCTTGAGCAAAGCTCCTTTATGGGATTGTTGTTAGGTCTGGAGCAGAACCACAGAACCACTCTGCACTGAGTTCCCTAAAGACAGCTGACACTTATCTGGTCATAGCAGCTACAAGAATGAGGAAAGCCGTAGTTGGCAACGATCAGCTATGCTACTGCAGAGGTTTATGCTTCTGATTGTCCAGTGTCAAACCATGTGCTTATTTGCTCCTATGGACTCTTGCTTCTACTCTACCAACAAGCATGCCATGATGGAGGCAGTCGTGCTTTGTTTGTCCCTAGCCCCTGATCATCCAGAGCCAGTCCACGATATACACAAAAGCCACCCACTAACACCAGCTGGACTGGCAGATGACTCTTTCTTTAGCCCTGGGGATGGGGCAGCATTCTGCAACCATACCTTAAGGCAGCAGGCTAGCTTGGGGGATGCAGGACAAACTGTCTGGCACACAGTTCTCTCCTCCAATACCACTTCTGAAGATTGAGGGGTGATATGACAGCACTTTTCTAATATTTGAAAGGTAGTCATACAGAGAAGGAGCAGGATCTGTTCTCGATCATCCCAGAGTGCAGGACGCATAATAATGGGCTCAAGCTACAGGAAGCCAGATCTAAGCTGAATATTAGGAAAAACTTTTAAGCTGCTAGAGCCGTATGACAATGGAACCAATACCTCGGGAGGTGATGAGCACTCCAGTGGTGGGGGCATTTAAGAGAAAATTCGGCAACCATCTGTCAGATCTGCTTTGATTTGGATTCCTGCATTGAGCAGGGACTTGGACTTATAAGCCCCTTCCAACTTCATCATTCTATGATTCTTGGTGCTCCCTAGAGCAGTGATGGCGAACCTTTTTGATCCCAAGTGCCGAAACTGTGGGGGGGGGAAGGGACCCAGCGGGTGGCAGCGGCAGAAGTGGTGATGGCAGAAGGGGGAATCCCAGGCACGGAGGTGCCTCCAGACCCCACTCCGGATCTGCCTTCAGTCGTGCCCGACCCCACCACTGCCTATAGCTCAGCCAGCCCACCAGTGCCAGCTGCTCCAGATCCTGGCCCGCCAGTTGTTGAGGCACTAGCACTGTGGCTGCAGCCACCTCCTCAGGTTTGGCTGCTGGGGGTAGCGATCCAGTGACTTATTGCGCACGTGCCCACAGAGAAGGCTCTGTGTGCCAGCTGTGGCACACATGCCATAGGTTTGCCATCACTGCCCTAGAGTCTATCATCAAAGGCAAACTGTCTCCCTCTGCTTAACAGTAGGGCCGGGCCAATATCATCTCAGATAACATACTGCCTTATCTGTTGCCTAACAACCATGACTCCTCATCACTGCTAGTGCTACTTTTTAATGGATTAAGTTCATTGCATCTTCACTTTTCCTATTAATGTTTTCTCCTTCCCAGGTATTGCACCAGGTGTGCATTAAAGTGGGAAGTCAACTGGAGAGAAAAACATCACCCCAGGCCCTGAACAGTTGTGCAAAAAGGGGGGATATGTCATCAGTTTCCCCCTTTTTCTTTCCCCTGCATACGAAGTTGCAGTCACGCAGCTGCCAAGGTTCCCCAGGTTGTGCATGTTCATCATACAGAAGTTGTGTCCACCTTTGTGTCTTAAACAGAAACACCAGCATCTGGGTTTCAAGGTATAAGAGCTGCCTAAGGTGAAGACCTAGAGGGTTGCCATTCCCTGTACAAAAGCCAATGGTACTGGCAGCTGAGACTCTGTCCTCACTCCTAATAAATAGGATCCCATCCCTCCCTGTACCTGAAGGCAGAGGGTGAGCTTTGGAGAGTGCGTGGCAGGCTGCCTGCCATAGGGCTTTTCCCTCCCCTGGCTTTCATCTGACCTCCTCTTTCTGCCTAAGGTAACCACCTCTTTTAGTTTCGCAGTAAGGCTGGCCCTGCGTGGAATGCATACCGGCTTCTGTTCAATCAGCACAAGGATGGACGTCTGCTGAGAACTATGGAGCTCGGAAGTACTCTGGCTGCTGGCAGTGACCTTGAATGCCCTGCCTGGTTTAGAATAAA